AACAACACTCTGTTGACTAGAGTACTTGAAATCCAGCATGGAAAATCCAAAGTGGAGAGAGGTATGTAGTGATGCTTACTCTTTCTAAGGGTGCTGCTTGGTGATTTTCAAGTAAGACTCAGGATTATCAAGAGAAGAAAAGGGCAAGAGGGCATTGAATCTAAGTACAGATGATTGAATATATAAAGAGATCAGGACAGACACTAAAACAAAATGTTGTGAAACTGCCCATTAGTGAAATACAAAGTAGCTCCGTCTTATACCCCAACTATAAAGTACTGACAGGTGTTTGTATGGTGTTAGAACAAAGATGAAGGGAAGGACCAGTGGTTAAAAAATATGTGTATGACACCCATAGAAGTTTGGACAGTATTCTGTAAGTGATATAGCGACCAATGACAGATGCTAGGCAAGTCACTGTGGAGAGCAATATTCTACTCCATGGGATCACAGCTGACTGGCCGTAACCAGTCAACAGATATCTGTCAAGCTGCTAGGCAGAAACAAAAGGGCACAGGACTCAAGGAGGAATGATGCCAGGGACCAGCCGCTGAGGCTGGCTGCTCGTTGTAACAGAGTAGCTTTTGACTCAGTTCTGTTGATACAATGATCACTGCTTTTCAAACATCTGCCAATTCTTCAAAATTCAGCCACAAAAAGGATCATCAAGGCTTCTGCTTCCCAGGTACTATGAAATGTCTCCTTTAATCTATACCACTGTGCACCCTACTCCAGGTGAACAGAACTATGTGCTCGACTTGCTTGTAGAGCCTCGGAAGACAAGGTGATGTTTTCTCTGAATGTCCCAGGGTTGTACTGACACATGAGCACTCTCCCGAGAGCTCATCACCGCTACCCTTCACTCTTGACAGTTCTTGATAAAAATAGAGCAGAGTACTGAGAACTTCTGTCACATTCTGAACAATACAATTAAAGCCTAAAGCTAAAGGTACTTTACTGAACAAAAGCCTTGCTGAGAATTCTAGGCCACAGTCCTTAGGAAGCCATCTTTAAACTACACCACTCTTCAGAGTGTGGGCTAAGTGAAGTTTAGTAATTATTAGAAGTCCCCATTATCTTGTCTGCTTTAATGGATATTTTACTGGCTGTCATAAAAACTAGTTTATCCGAATACTTATATTTTCCATCTTTTTGAGTTATATTGAGTTAGCCCAAATAATGACCTGGAAAATTATCATGAAATACTTTATCAAACTAACATTTCGAAGTGAAATACTTCCTTAAAGATTCTCTCCTGAATGACAAATATAATGGGTAAGAAAATATTGAAAAATCAAGTCTGAGTGATATAACAGCTTCATAAAAAATGAATGCCTTGTGATAATATTTGAGCTTCTATGATTTGCTGTATTTTACAAATATGTTTACCTGTGTTAAAGTTGTGAAACTACGAGAATACGGACTGGGAAAGGAAACGGAAAACTGATAAAATAAGAGACAACTGTGGACAATTCTCATCTAAGATTTTCACTTTACACCATCATCACCATCTTCTGTATAATAAACGCATACTGCCGTGGCTGCACAGTGCCACAGCTCTGAAGCTGGGACAAAGGTGGCCAGAACCAAGCCAGGAGCCCCACAAGAGAAGTTGCTAACTGGTCTCATTTCCTACTTCAGCAATTGCATGGAGGCAGTGTGGCTATGACACTCTTCCTACTCATTCTCATCTTGGCCAGCCTTCCACGGCCTTCCAAATGACCCGTCTATCTGCACAATGAAATTCAGGTTCACTCTCCCAAGTCTTATTCTTATATTGTTCTTTAAGACTGTAACTACCTGTTGAACCTGAACTAAACACATGCAAATAGATGGATCCTAATTCCTCAACTTGAGAATGACTACGAAGAGTGTCGTAGAGGCAGTTCTGCTTTGGTTTGGTTTAGTGCTTATTTGGCAGGTTTTCGAAAGGTCTCATACTGTAGTGTAGCTAATCAGGAAGTCCTGATTCCCCTCTTTCAGCAAAGAGCTAGGATTTCAAGCATGCCTGTGCTGCCCTAATGTTTTATCAAACTAAGACAGGACAGAAAATTAGAAGTCAACCTAATATTGGTAATTATAAATGTTTCTTTGCTGAGAGAACCGAGTTCTTCATATCTGACAATTCACAAATACTTAGCACCACACAAGTCAATAAAGGAACTGCCTACCAGAGCACACTTCATGCATTAACCACCAATATTACTGTCTAACTAAAATGATACTTTCAAAGAATCAACCTGATTTGTTTCATAGGTTATTAAATTGCAAACCAAAATCAATACCCTTGCCAACATATCACATGAATGGCTGCAAACAAATCAGTCTTAATGGATTTTAAAAATTAATTTCCTGATATTCCATCATGTTCAAGTCACATTCTAGCCCACAAGGCAGACAAACCTTCTGTAATGTAAAGAAGGAAGCTGGGCTACTGAGATGAGGTGACCCAAATTCCTAGTCATAATGTAAACTGGAGATAGAAATTCAATCACAGTAGAACATCAACTTCTTATTAGGCGAATTTATTACCGCAGCAAATACGCAGTCAGGTTAGGCTCCGTTAATTTTAATTTTGTTAAAAAAATGTGTATTTTTAAAAAGGTTTTGAAAATGAACTTAATATAAACATCTGAAACAATAAAAAGATTTGAGGATGAACTTACCATGAATTTTAGAATTCACATATATGAGCTACATCTAAAATGCCTATATTATAAATACATGTAAATAAACTGAATCTATTTATAAATTTAAAGAATACTAGTTATGGTATATTGCTGTGAACGATCAAGTTTTCAAAACTTTCATGAATTTTATTCTAAGCCAAACAGAAAGAAAAATCATTCTGAGTAGAAAACCCGAGGAACAGCTATTCATGGCACTAATTGGAGCAATAGATAATATCATTTCAAAGCAATGTCAGAAAAATAAAAAATCACTTTTGTATTTGCATAGCCACAGAATACATTTCTACCCAGCTAGGCTGAGGTAGGAGAAAAAGATCTATTCAGCAAAAAACATTTTCTCAATTTATCTTTATATAACTACATACAAATAGCTGATAATTTGAAAAGGTAAAAAGAAATGACTCACAATTCTACCACCAAAGACAGCAGATAGCATTTTATTATTTCTTTCTAATCTTCTACACAAGGCTTCTTAGCATACATTCCATCTCTGAACATGTAGGCATTCTCCTACTAAAAAGTCTAGAGGTACTTCAAGGCTTCACTTCCTGTGTGAGGGAATGCCATATGACATGAAAGCAATGTGTACACTAGTCAAGACCGGCTTCAAAGAAATTTCACTGCAAGCGCCATTGGGGCCCTTTGGGTAGGAGATTTTCAAAGGTTAGGGAATTCACCTCATTTGATTTCAGAATTTTCAGATGTTAACCAAACTGGCCCTTATTTTACCAATTTAGTAACTCAGGATTAATAACTGGTGAATACATTATGCTTTCCCATTGTAAAACTTCCTTTTTATTAATCTATGTAAGAAATGTAAATTCTCATATGAACAAGACAGAAAAGAGATACAAAGAGATTAAATAACAAAACAAAATTAACCCAATTTTGAAAAATAAAATTGTGACTTTTTAACATTCCTGGTGTCATTTCTATTTGTGTAGACTCTATTGGTGTTTACATAAGAAAGATGGGAGACAAATTTAATGTTAAAATGTTGGTTAAAATTATTCAGTCATTAAAAATAAGATGATGATGCATGTTACATTAGTCTGGCCATGAAATATTCCAAAAGGCAATAGTCCCCTATTCGAAGATTTGTTTTAAACACGATGTAAACACTTGGCTTGGAAATGGGATAACCATCACGCTTAGCCGTGGGTTAAAAGTACTGATTTACAAGAACCACTTTGCCCTGGGCCTCCCACGCGCTAAGTGTCTCTAAGCCATCGAGGTCTGTTTCCTCACCATTAGGACAAAAACTCCTGCATAGATGCCAAGATTTCAGAGGCTTCCACACTCTAATATAGCAAGCGCTAACTGAAACCTGTCTGCCACACATCTAAATACTTAGTTCAAATGTGACTACGAAAGAAAGTTTACCAAGCATGTATTTCCCTTCGAGATTACGCTCTCACGTGACCATCAAAGTCTCAGCTTCTCAAGACGATCCCATGACCTTGGAGATGCACTTTACCGACAAAAATGTGCACTCAGCGGGAAGCTGGACTTATAGATGAAAATGTATTTTTAAAAAAGAAACTCTTCCTAGCAGTAAGTAACAACACAATCCTTATCTTTCCTCATTGCAATGCAATGAGAAAAGCAACGGAAAATGTGTTTAACAACTAGTGCCAAACAAAATGTGGTATGCTGCCTGAAAAAGCAACTCTAAAAGTTCAGTCCTGTATTCTCTTCCCATTGTGATGATTTATCAACCAACAGTTTTGCCCTCTTCGGGAAAAATGTTTTCCGAGTATTGTAGATGGGGGGAAAAGGTTTTTTTTTTGTTTTTTTGTTTTTTTTTTTTTGTCACTTTCTGGAAACGTTTGCCCTTTTGATAGTGGACCGCCACCCTAGATAACTTCTGTGTTTGATCAGGTCAGGTCAATCTACAAACCACCGTCCTCAATAATGGGCAGGTGTTCTAAAGGACGAATTACAAATGCAAGGCTCTGAAGATCACTGCCTTCTGCTTCATTCGCTTTAGAACCTGGGCGCTTTCCCTAAGAACAGTAATCACTACCTGTCTTTTCAAAGCTCTAGATGCTTTCTAATTTGGTTCCTACTCCGTCCATCAGTCCAGGAGGAGATAGAAAAGAGGCCTCCAAATGGCAGTATCTCAACTCCCTCTTTTGAGAGAAATGAATGGCCTCGCGGAAAAGTAAAGCGGCGCAAACTTGAGACACCGGGCGGCAGAGCCTCCCCTTGGCACATCGAGTGTGGTGTCGCTGCATCTCTCGCTGCGTCCTCAGGTTCTTTCAACAGCGAGGAGCCTCGGGAGGCCGACCCTTGCTGGTCACCACTCACCTTGCTGGGCTCCAACGTCCTGGAGCAGCAGGAGCAGCAGCAGAAGCAGCCCAGGCCTGGAGGAGGAGTTGCGGCCAGGAGGGAGGGGACAGCAGCCTGCGCTGGGCAGCGGGGCCCGGCCGGTGGCGGCGGGCGCGGCCTGGCCTCGGAGACCCTGCGGACTGTGC